GATCACAGTTCACATACAGTTCACACAGTTCACACAGTCCACACAGTTCACACAAAGTCCATTCAATCCATACATTTCACACAGTTTAATCTTAATCCTTAAAAAAACAGAATCACAATGAAATAATAATTCAATTGTTTTTAATCTTTATGCTTAAATGTTTTTTTCGGATATTAGGTAAAAGATGAATTAAAGAGAGCATGACTGAAACCCAAACCCAAATATTATTTTTCTGTGAGATTTATTACAAATCAAGTAACAATTTTATATATTTTTATATATTTTTTATATATTTTATTTTTCCTTAATTTAGTCTTTGATTACAACTTTATTTGTTGCGTCTGGTGTTGCGTCTGGGATTTACATTGCTGACAAAAAAAAAGGAGAAAGGTAAAGCGCGTGATTAACGTGAGAAAAATGTAATTTTACTTTAGATGTAAAAGAAAGGTATTACGTCACGTACGTCACGTAACTTTATTTTATATATATATATCTAAATATGTTACATAATTAAATGTATTTATGTTGTATTCAATTCATTCAATTCATAGGCAAAGTAGGCAAAGTAGGCAAAGTAAAAAAAAAAAATCGGAATTTCAAAAATAAAATTAATCCTTATGAATCATGATTATAATACCAGATAAGGCGAAGTCCGGCTATTAAATCCGATTTACAAAATATTGATTTTAAAATTAAAAATTACATATTACAAATTTTACAAGGGTAATTCCGTAAATTCGTAAAATTCCATTGTGTGGCGTAGTAATTTTTGGCGATGTGGCGTAGTTTTATTCCCTTATTGAACTCGCCAAATATTTGGCTAAAGAATAATTACTAAACAATAACACAAACGGTCAAACGGTTTAAAAAAAACCATTTATTGAATAAATAAATTTTCTTTAGAACGGTTTATAATTCAGAATACTTGCGGTTATTCAATTGTTTCCAAATTATTTTTATTTTGACTCGGTGTAAATTGACGCGGTATAAAAAAAAGCGAACCCGATAATTTGGTATAAATGATGTAATTTTTTTCGATTTAGAGGTTTTTTAATTCAATACAAAAATGATTCATTGTTCTTGAATTTTTTTTTAAAAAAAAAAAAATAATAATTTGAAAATTTAAAATAAATAATTGGACTACTTGGCGCCCTTTTTTTTTCCAATTTTAGTCAATATTCATGTAGATTACTTCATGTAAGATTGTAAATTTTTTTCAAATAAAATTATTCTTTTCAAGCACACGAGTACTTTTATCAGCTTAAAATAATGACAATGAGGATGGATTTAATTGTATTATTAAAAACTTTAAATTTATTTATAAATATTATTATATGTATCAATGTATCAATGTATCAAAAAAGGAATCAGATCCATAAAACTTTTTTTTTAAAATTACCATAAAGACAAATGTTACAAAATTTATGCCTCGTATGCGGTATGCCTCGTGATTCAAAATTCAAAATAACATGTTGGTATGAAATTATAAAGACAAAGGGAGAGGGAACAATTTGAGACGCGTATATCATGAAATTTCATGAGTAGTGATACGCGGGCGAATATACTTATATAGTATTTAAAACTTAAAAAAAAAAAAACAAACGATTTTTTCGATTACCAAAAGTCACATGATACATGTGACGGATGATTTACAATAATGTGTGGTTATTTTTGTTTGACCATTATTTATATGTGGGAATAAATTAATTTTTTGGATGAATTTGGGTTTCAGGGGATGCACATAATTTTATTTTTATGAAAAAAAAAGTCAATCCGGTTTGAAATAAATTTATTTTAGTTCCGGTTTGAAATATCGTTTAGCAATTTTACACGTTATTTTGAATATTGTGTTCTCAGTTTAAAATATTTCGTAACGTATTAAAATTTTTCATAATTCCTATTTTTAAAAAAAAACTAAAAAATTTTTTTTTTTGTTATACCAAATTCTGATAAATTAAAAGAAAAACAAATCTTGCTTAATTGTTTATATTATATGAGTTGGATTAAAATTTCTTAACGAGAAGTTTAATATTTCGTAATGTAATAAAATTTCATAATTCCTATTTTTTTTTAAAAAAAAAAAAAATTTTTTTTTGTTATACCAAATTCTGATTTAAACAAATCTTGCTTAATTGTTTATATGAGTTGAATTAAAATTTCTTAACGAGAAGTTTTTTTTTACGCCTAATGATTCAAATTTTATATGCACGAAATAAAAAATGACTACAAATTTGGGCAACTAACCATTTAATATTTCAAAAAAGTTTGAGCTGCTAAGTAAATCAGCTAAAGTTAGAACATTATGTGATAATTTTTCACATTACACAAAATCTTAATTAACACATCAATTTCCATTAATGAAAAATGATAATGTTACACCAAATTTGTAGGAAAAGACCCTGCGAGGGGGACTTGCATTATTAGTCTCATAAATATACTTTTTAATCTTGTGATTTTAACTTATAACTCGCAGATTCTTCATCTGTGATTGCAGAATACTTTTAAACTTTTATCACGTAAGAAAAGAATAAAATGTTTCTTTTAATAATTTATTTTAACTTTTTTGATAACAATAATAAAACGTCATCAACATCGTCATTAACTTATTTTTCAAGTCAAAAAATAGGTAAATTAATTTAAACTAAAAGTAGAATATAATAATATTCTATAAATAATTTAATAAATGTGATACTACTAATTAAACTTGTCTATCTCTTATGCTTGTCAATGTTGATTGCGTAAATAAACTATTTTTAAGATTTTTCAAAAATTTTTAATAATAAATTCCTAGTTTATCATCAAAAAAGTTAAATTTAGAACTATTTTTTTTATTTATTTGTAACATTAAAATCATTTAATCATTTAGATAATTTACATATTGCATCTAAATACTAAAATAATCTAATACTAATAATTCATATCACGAATTGTCTATGAAAAGATTTAACCGATATTTATTCTTCGCTTTAAGATTATTATCTTTTGTGGCTTTTCCTTATCTTCCAATGATAATTAAATCTTTAATAACGTTCAATTCATTCACGCTAAGAAAGGATAACAAAATGTTTAAGAGGTTTCTTGATCACATATGTGTATGCATCACAGTTTCAAATTTCTTTAAAAAAAAAGTTGTAAATATATTAAATATATTAATATATTTCTTTTTTTGAAGATATAATCGTTATTTTACAATTATTATAAAATGTTAGAATTGTTTGTTTTATTGAAGAATAAAAAAAAAAATTTTTTTTTTTTTTTTTTTTTTTTATACAAGCAATTCAAAAAATTTCATATAATTTAAAAAAAAATTAATATAAAAATTATAATATATATATTTATATATATAAATTAAATAAATATATATAAATAAATATTAAAATGGGAAAAACTTTATAAAATGTATCGCAATATATATTTTAGTTTAAATCTTCCAACTTCGAAAATTAAAATTACCGAAAGTGTATAGCAAATAAAACTAATTTAAAAAATATAAAAAAAAAAAATTTTTTTTTTTTTTTTTTTTTTT